TCTGGGCTGGCTGGGCACGGAAGCACAGCTCCTCTCCAGAGGGTGTCTGCTCCAGCAGATCCAGGACTGTTCCAAGGTGTATGGGTGGTGGCCACAGGCCTGGAGAAGCTCCTGTGCTTCCTTAAGGAAGGCAGGTTTCATCTGGGCCTTCCAGTCAGTGGGGCTGATGGATCTTGAGGGCCACCACATTTCCGGGGAGGTTTTGTCCAGGTGCCCACTAGCTCCTGGTACCACTCCTGCTGTGTCTGTAGTCAGACCCCTCCCTCTGCCAAGGGCACGAGAAGTGGCTTGAGGAGCTTGTGCTGTTTGCTTTGTCCTGCTGATTGGGCTTTGTGCTAAATTTCTGTTCTGCTCTGGCTTCCACAGGCAACCATGAAGAAGAAGAGCCACGACCAGGATGAAGCAGACTGCAGGGCAGAGCTGATCCTCATCAATGGGAACTGCACTGACCCCACTGAAGACTCACCCACCCTTCTTCTGGGGGCCAAAGGGAAGACAAGTGCTCCAGGTGAGCTGTGCCTGGGATGTGCAGGGATGCACAGGGGGCTGCAGCATTGTGGCTGTGGCTGGGGTCCCTCTGGCCCCCACCTGCCTGAGGAGTGCTGCCAGCTCCTGGGATGCTCCAGTCATGGTCCCCAAATCCCAGCTCTTGTGTTCATAAGATCCTGCTTTAATTGAGTGGTGACAAGCCCTGAATAGTGGGCATGTGGTTTGCTTGTTCTTCTCAGGAACAGAAGGGTGCATGGGAAGGTTCTCACACTGGCTATCAGAGTCCCTCCAGTTTTGGGGCAGGTGGGGGGTTTGGGGCTGCCAGTGCCAGCAGCACTACCATGGGGAGCCTTGGGGACATCAATTGCCTTCTGCTCTTGGCCACACTTCTCCAAGTGGAGGTTCTGGTCTCTTCAAATCCCCACTCCCAGCCACAGCTGGGAGATGTGCAGGGACATGGCCAGGGGGCTCACAGCTGAGCCTGCTCTGCTGTGTCCCTGTGCAGATGCCAGGGGCCTGGGGCTGCCCTCCCTGAAGAACAAGAGGGTCAGCAAGGGAGACCTCTCGAAGGAGGAGCTGTCCTGGCCACTCGCTGTCACGGGGAAGCAGGAGGTAGGTGCTCACCAAGGCTGCTGGAAGGCCTTGCTGCCAGGAGGTGTGGGCTGTCTGCAGGGGCAGCTGGTGCCAGGACCCTCACCCCTTCCCCTCCAGAGTGGCTCTCACACTCAGTGCTGGGGGAGCAGCCCAATGGCAGATGTGATTCTCATTTGCAATAATATTAGTTTTCATTTTTAGATTCTTGATTTACTTGAGGCCAGCAGCAGCAGGAAGGTGTGGTGTGATGCAGCGATGCCCACTGCATCTTGCAGCAGTCAAATCATTATTCTGCTGATACTTTTAAGAAGTTTCAGTTGTATGGCTGGACTGCAGCATCTCATGTCTCTCAGGGTGGCCTGATTTTAGCTGCTTCGGGCCTGGATCCCAGTTTCAACCCCTCCTTTTGTTGACTAGGTTGACAAACCTCCAGGGTCTGCAAGCATTTTTGCCTTCTGGCTTTATTGTTTTGATTCTGAAACAAAACCCCGAGGTTGGAGATCTGCCTGTGACGAGGCAGCTTCCAAAAAAAAGTGAGCCATAAATCCAACCAGAGTGAAAATTCTGCTTTCCCACCAAGTTGGGTTTGGGGCTCTTCGCTTGCAAAATCTCGTTTCAGTGTGAAACTGTTACGCCGGATGCAGGAAACGTGCCTGGGTTGGACTGTTTGTAAACTGTGGCTGCTGAAACCGCAGGGGCAGAGCTGCCCCGGGTGGCTGCAGGGCTGGGTGGTGCCAGGGAGAGCACCCACGCGTGTGGGCAGGGGGCTGTGCCCGGGGTGGCCGCTGGCTCCTGCTCTCAGTCACACCACTGGCTGCAGCTGCAAGGAGGGAGGGTATCGCAGGGTACAGAGTAGAGTAGAATCAGAATGGTTCTGGTTGGGAAAGACCTTAAAGATCATCAAGCCCAACCATTAACCTCAGCACTGCCAAGGCCACCATGTGCCACTGGCCTGGGACAGGCGTCCCTGCCACAGCCCCTCTGCTCTGGTTGCAGACGCAGCCCCGGGGCAGTGCTGGGTGGGACAGCAGCCTGAGGCAGAAGCCCCCCGAGCGCCTCATCTTCCAGGCAGGGCAGACCCAGCACGAGATGAGGATCAAGGCGACGAACAACGAGGAGGCTCTGAGGGACCTGCGAACTCCCTTGCGGGTGAGGGTCTGCACGGGTGCCAGGCTTTCCCTGGGGATCCCTGGGGCTCCAGGGGCTGGCATTGCTGCTGTGCCCTGGCCAAGTGGCATCAGACATATTGCAGGCTCTCTGTGCCTCAGTTTCCCCTGTGAAGTGGGTGTGTGTGCTGCTGCATGCCCTTGCTGTGAACTGGGGGCTTTGAACGCTGGGGTGAATTGGGGAGGGGAAAAGGGAAGAGCACAAGTGGAGCACTGTGTTCTGTGTGTCTGGCAAGTAACAGGAGAGCAGTTCTCCCTCGGACACCCCAGTCCTGGGCCCTTCCCACTGTTCCTGGCTGCGGTGGCATTCCCACTCCCCATCTTCCCCTCTCCTCACTCTTCCATTCCCAGTAGAGGGGCTGGGGGTGATGTGGGGCAGCTCTCTGCTCCCCCCTGCCCTTCTCCCTGCCTTCCTGCCACACACACTCCCCTCCCTCCGCACCCAGAGCTCCAAGCGTCGCTCGACCACAGCTGTCCCCGTGGCCATCATCAACCTGACGGAGGATGACTCCCTGGACTCGTCCCAGAGCAGCAGCACACTCTCTGGCAGCAGCTCCCAGGAGGGCCAGAACGGCTCTGCCGAGCTGGGGACTGAGGAGCCAGAGAGCAGAGATGTGGGGACACCACTGGAGTACCAGGTACGGAGGGGCCAAACTGCTGCACTGGGATCCTGCCCCCGGTGCAGGGTTGGGGGTGAACCCTCCTGGCTTGTCTGCAAACCTCTCTGCTGCTTCTGCCTCCTCCCTGCCTTCCCTTCCCGGCCTGTGCGGGGTGGGATGGTTCCAGGCTGTCCCCCTGTCCATCACAGCAAGGTGAGAGCTGCTCCAGGGGCACCTTGCTGGAGATGAGCAGTGCGTGGGGACCAGCTCTGCCAAGCCCCTCCCTGCCTGCTGCTCCTGGGCTGCAAAACCTCCCAGGGCCCCAGGAGCCGCGCGGGGCACACAGCCCTGCCCAGACAGGCAGTTGCATGTGCAGAAAATGTTTCTGTCGGGGGGTGCTGGAGAGGCACGAAGCTGCTGGAGCTGCAGAGGAGCCTGGTTCAGTGCCTGCGGGTGTCAGGGCAGGGCCCCAGACTTAGCAGAATTGGGCAATTGCATTTTGCTGCATAATTAGGTGCCTAATTGCAGAACAAAGCTGGGAAGGAGCTGGGCAGGCCGAGGTGACTGCTCCTGTGTGAGCTGCCTCCCTGGGCACTGCACTGTGCCAGTGTGACCTCCATCAGTCTGCCTGTGGGAGGCCCTTGGCATGGTCATGACAAAATTCCCAGCTCTTCTCTCTGTTTTCAGTCTGCCCTGTGTCCTGCCCTTCCCTGTGGGAACAAGAGCAGGGTTGCTGCCCTCTCCCTGGGGTGCAGTCAGAGGCTGAGCTGTGAGCCCCATGAAAGGGGCTTCCTTTTGCCCAGTAGTAACCTTGTTTGTGCATGGAGCCCAGGGAGCAACCTCCGTGCAAAGTCCTGCCCGTGGTGGGCAGGACACACAGCACCCCCTGCCCTGCAGCCTCAGCCTGGCCCTGCCGGGGGGCTCAGCAGCAGCGTGTGATGAGCCTGGCAACCGTGGCTGCCACAGGTGAGGGGATCAGAAGAGTCCATCTGCTCTCCTTGGAGCTGCTGCC